GGCTTTAGATGCATTTGTCGCAGGTTCTTAAGGACATTCCTCTAGAAGTACGAACTTATAGTCATCACAGATAAGTAGGATATTCATGTTACTTTTTCACTTTATATAATTATCTTCATCCAGTTTTTCAGCCTCGAGTAGTGAGATTATAGGATTAGATATATTGTTGAAAATGAAAAGAGTATTCATCTAATCAATTTTTTTGTATGAATATCAGGATAGGTGAATTTTAGCCCAATTAAATATGATGCATGATACACATGAAAAAAACATAAATCTTGTTTAAATTTTAGGTGCCAACGATAATCTAATTACCACAAATATAGTGTCACTGTATGGTAGGTCAAAATATTCACAAATTGAACCGAGCCTTCTCAATTAATAAATATAATTAAAATATCTCATATTTTCATACTCATTAACTACTGTTATTTTAGTCAAAATATAATCAACTAATTTAATTATATTTTATGAGTGTAACCCATCGTTTTGGATTCTACAGACTGAACTCTGAAGTGCCACCGTAGGTTAGGATAAACTGAAAATACATCTTCGAATCTTATCGTTAGGATGTCAACCTTGATATTGACCCAAAAGAACATTTTCTGTAGGGAGTATGGAATCGGTACCGCCGCGAATCCCCTTTCGAATCTCACGGTGTTGAACTAGTGATGGAGACCAGTGAGTCGTATTGTTATACAACCTTCTCCCACTCAATATTTTCTAAATATGTATTTTATTTGAAAATTATCTCATGGTTTTCAAATCCCTATAAATAAACAATTTATTTATTAGATATGTGGAATTCTAAAATTTAGCTCTTAAATTCAATTTTACACAAAACATAATCTTGCAAATTAATTTTACAACTTAAATCAATTTAATCATATTAAATCAAATTTAGCGCAATATTCTTATTTTATTTTTCAAAACTCTTTTAAATAAATAAAATAATGTGCATGTATGCATGACATGTTATAAAATATATGAGTAAGTACACTATATCTATATGGTATGTTATATGCATAGATGTATAATATACAATCATCCAATAAATATAAGTATAAAATATGCAATTAGCTATTAAGATGAATTTGATCGGGTCCCATAGAAAATATAAATTACAACCATATTGAACGATTATTAATACAACCAAATCGAATAAATAAATAATTACAATAATTATTTTCTTCCGTTACATTAATGGGTCTTTGATTTTTAAATTCCTCATTCATCGGCTTTGTTCTTCATCTTTAGGTCAGATTTCAGCTTATTGGGGTCCAGAACTCTTTCAGATTTGATCGCATGCATAACTAGGGTTTCCAAAACCCGACGGGCCCAAAGGAGGCCCGACTGTGCATGTTGGTCGTGCACCTGCGCAGCTTGGCCACGCTGGGGCGCGTTGGCCAGGCCCAGAGCGTGCCTGGGCTGCACGCGGGACGCGCCTTGGCATGCGTGGGGTGTGCATGGGCAGCGTGTGGGTAGTGACTGTCCGAGGAGCTTTAGGACGACACTTCTGGATTTTTTCGAGCTTCTTATACTTGTGATTCCTTGCCCTAATCTACCTAAATCCTAGAATTATAATAATTCTAATTCCTGAATAAAATTACAAATAATTTAATGAACGAATATAACCGATCTATAAACCCATATAATTAACGACCAAATCCATCATTCATACATTCATCAACATGAATAAATATAAACATCTATAAATAAATGGAAGTAATTACCCATCACATACGTACAAATTAAATATCACATATTTAATATAATCTGAGTATTTTTTTAAATATAGTCTATAGACCGCTCTGATACCAATTGTTGGTTTCCAAACAATTTCAGATGTAGAAGCGGGAATTTAGCGGATCGTGCATAATAAAATTTTTCATAAACTTTGAGATACTCTGTAGATTACATTAATTTATGCACGATTAAATTAATCAAATTTATTTATTTACCTAGCGAATGATTAGATCGATAACTTGAGTTCTTTGACCTCGAACGTTCCATGCTCCAAGCTAGTTTAAAACACTCAAATTTTCCTCGTCAATTCCTAGAATCTACAAAGAAGTGAAACAAAATGGGATTAGCGAATAAACACTCAAGGTTTCCACAGCACCAACAGATGCACGACATGAAATTTTTGGAGAAAATTTTCCTTCCCAGACTAAAGAAAACCAGCCACTATTGTCAGGAGAGAGCAAAAATTGTGTTCTTTAATTTTCTGCAATCTCCAACTTATAGAGTAGTAGTCAGACTCCTAAAAGAAGCCTAATCTTTATCTCCAAGATAAAGCTTGATAATTATCTCACTTCTAATTTGGTTTTTGAAACAATCCCTTATCCACATGTTGGCTGTCCACCACAGGGAGATTCCTACTCACTGTGGTAGGCGCATACTGCAAGTAAAGAATATGACAAAATTCAGCATTTATCTTGCAATTCAATTTTGACTCAAATTTAAATTTAAATTTAAGTCAAACTTAAATCAATTTGAATTTCAAATTGGACAACTTATCAAATAAGTTAGTTGGGAACTTAAATAATCACATTATTTAATTGGACAACTTATGTGAACACCTTCACATGTGTGTTCTAAAATTCAAATTTAAAATTAAATAATCACATTATTTAATTTATAATTAATTATCAATTAATTATCCTTGAGCGTTTTATTTTAAAATTCCATAATTCTAAAATTCTCATTTTGCCCTTAGTGTATCCTACAAGAACAACGCAGGGATTCATAGACCTATAATTCTGAGCTCCAAAAAAATTAATAATTAATTAAAGTCTTTAATTAACTAATTAATTCTATTAATTCTAAAATTTACTCCACTGTAAACATAAATTACTTCCAAACTGTGAAGTGTCCATTAGATATAATCATTACATATAGATCAATCTCACATAAATAATTCACAATTAGAGATAGGTGAAATCCGTTAACCTATCTAATTACGTCTTTATCCTTCAGGACCATTGATTCTATAATTGATAGTGATTCATAAAACAAATTCATGAATCGGAGCTCCTACTGGTCGAAGTATCGAATCAAACCTTAAGAGAATTATTTATCTACTTCTTTCTCAAGAATGAATGGATTCCTTCTCGTATAATAACATTCCCAGCAACTCACTTCATCATGTCTCCAAAATACAAGGAATAGGATTCAGGATCTCGTAATCCGTACCGAGTAAATTAAAATACACAAATCCATCAATAGGAGTCTTCTAATAACTCAGGATTAAGATCATTCTATATATGACTATCGGTAAACTCAATTAGAATTTCTATACTTAACATAAATTATCAGAAATTCATATTGTGTCTGTGTCCATGTTCCACATAATCTCATTATGCGCAATATACTCATTCAATATCTCGTCATATTAATTGTACGGATAACACCGTTCCATTCTAAATGAGAATGACATGCATTTTTAATGTTTTAATTAAGGATTCTGAATTTTAATTAAATTCATTACGAACGTCGTTTTGATTATTATCCTTAAATATTATCCTCTCGCATATAACACTTATATACAATATTTAAGGTCACATAAATAATTATGGAATTTTCACTGATATTTATTAAATATTCATTAATATATGCACATAAGATAATGAAAAAACTATTTTATTAAATTAATACTAAATATCTTAATAATAAATATTCATCTCATGCTTTTAGGACACCATTCCCTACAATCTCCCACTTGTCCTAAAGGAGGAGTGGCATGTCTCTTATCCCAAATCCTTCTAAGTGTCTTAGTGCGGCGTCACAAGCTACAACATACTCAACTTCTAGGTAGAGTCAGCAACACACTTTTTCTTTACACTTACCTCGGCTCCTCTATTAAAAGTGAACACAGATCCAGATGTCGACCATCAACTATCTCTATTCGATTAGAAATCAGAATTTGTGTATGCGGTGAGAGATAGATCCTCTCCGAAATATACCAATATATAGTTTCTCGTTCTCCTAAGATACTTGAGAATACACTTCACCGCAGCACAATGATCTAACGACTGGTAACGACTGACTACTCCTACTGTATAGCAGATATCCAGTCGTGTACACATCATAGCATACATGAGGCTTCCCACTGCATATGCATAGGGATATCGTCTCATATATTTTTCCTGCTGTGGAGTCTTAGGACATTACTCCTTTAAAAGATGAATGCCATGCCTGGAAGGTAAATTCCCTTTCTTGGAGTTCTGCATCGAAAACCTGACAAACACTTTGTCTATGTACGATGCCGGAGATAACGCCAACAGCTTTTCTTGCGATCTCGAATAATCTTAATCCCAAGAACATAGTTTTTCTCTCCCAAATCTTTCATTTAGAATTGGTTGGCTAACCACTTCTTTACATCTATCATCAATTCCACACAATTCCTAATGAGTAGAATGTCATCAACATAAAGAACTAAGAACACCCACTTTTCTTCTCTCATACTTGTAGAGACACGGTTCATCAACATTTTGATCAAATCTATAAAACTTAATAGTCTCATCAAATCTGATGTTCCATGATCTAGAGGCATGCTTTAATCCATAAATGGATATCTACAGTTTACGAACTTTATGCTCTTGACCTTTATCTATTTAACCATCTGGTTGATTTATATAGATGATTTCCTCAAGATAACCATTCAGAAAACCATCTATAGAGTCCACCTCATAGGACTCCCTGCATAATCAGATTTTATACTCGTTATTTATATGTATTGTCCCATCTGAGTACCTAGTGGCCCTCAAGAATTTATTCGTGTCCCCCAACACTTAAACCCAAGACGTCTCTCCTTATAAAATTTTTAAGTCAAGTGTTGATTCTCCAGCTTAATTAAGCAAAATTGGAGCTACAGCTTCACCCATGGATTTTAGCCAAATTAGCTCTGTAATTAAGGCGTGGAAGTGATTAATTGTTATTATTATTTTATTTTATTTTATTTTATTTTTTGCTTCACCAAAGAATTATATTGAAAGGGCAAAAAAGAAATCCTGGTAAGGGATAATGATTCAGGAAAGGACTCTTTACATCTGAAATGGTCTGAATGGCTTAACAATGAAAAGAGCATTCAAAAATACATTTCAGTGTCACGTACAAAGAGTACCTTTCCTAACAATGAAAAGAGCATTCAAAAATACATTTTAGTGTCACATACAAAGAGTACCTTTCACACTAGCTCTATGTACCTAATCATTGCCGGAAATAGTGTGAAAATCTGAGAACTTCAGAATCCAGCAAATTTTGGAAAAGGGTAAAACATCCATGAACTATGATTGGTTAAGTTCTGTTTTTTATTTTAATCCGAAATCTCGGAGCAACAGCCGGTGCTTGTTTTGCGGCCTCAGGCCTAGACTCAGGTCCTGCGATCGCTACTTTGGATCTACCAGATTCAATTGGTTTTGACTCCACCGTCGCCGACTTAATCTTAAGTTCGTCTTTCTTGTTTGTCAACTCCACAGAAGACTTGGGCTGGTCATTAAAAGAAGAGGTCTCGGCCACATTCATCAGCTTTGCCATCTCCTTTTCTTTCTTCCTCTTCTCCTTCTTCAGACGCTTCCGCTCCAAATACTCGGGATCATCTCGGTGTCCTTTATGGTCTTCCCGCTTCCGTTTCTTCTCCTTATCTTTTTTCTTGTTCTCCTTTTCTTTTCCATCAGGAAGTGAGTCCGCGGCACCAAATGATCGACTGGGTTCATGTCTTGAGTCTGAAAGAGCTTGAAGACTCGCAAATTTTTGTGCACCGGCATCTACATTATTATCCTGGATGAAGCTAGATGATGATGGATCATCTGGTTGAGGTTGTGCAAAAGCTTTGCTCGAATCAGCAGTGCACTGAAGTTCCTTCCCAAATTCATCACCGTCGCTGGCAAGTTTTGCACTGCCTATACTGGCAGTCATTCGGGACCCACGATCATAACATGAGTTGACTTCTTCAAGATTTTGATTGCTAATGCTCACAGCTTCCGTGAAATTTCTGTTGGGTGCATCCACAGAAACTGAACTGCTAGCACCTCGATCAGCTTCATAAAGTTCACCGTGCGATCTTTTGACTGCTTGATTGTCAACCTCTTCTGCTCTACTAGTGGCAGTAGATTTTTTCATCCTGATCTTAACAACCGGCCTCCTCCGTCCATGACTGGTAGAAATGGTGTCTGCTTCCTTGGAAGGCTCAGGAATGGCCAAACCATCCTTGGAAGCTTCTGAAACAGCCAAGCCATCCTTAGAATATTGTGGAGCAGCCAAACCATCTTTAGAAGATGCTGGTGCAGCCAAACCATCCTTGGAAGATGCAGGAGCATCAACGACATCTTTGGATGCTTCCGGAGCAGCCAAACCATCCTTGGAAGATTCTGGAGCACCCAAGCCATCCTTGGAAGATTCTGGGGCAGCCAAAGCATCCTTGAAAGTTACTGTGCTTGAAGGTTCTGGGACAGCCAAACCAACTGAAGCTTCTGGAACAGGAAAACCATTGATGGAAGCTTTTTGAACAGTGAAAACATCCTTGAAAGCTTCTGGGGCAGCCAAACCATTCATGGAAGCTTCTGGAACAGGGAAACCATCATGTGAAAGGTTCTGAGCATCAGAAGGTTGTTTATTATCCGAAACAAAAGAAGCAAATACGTTATGCTCCTGCCAGGCTTCCATATCCCCTCTATGCAATGGTCTATAATCCCTTGGAACTCCGTACAGTGTTGGTGGCCTGAAAAAGGGTGCTCAAAATAATTTAGATAGAAGATCGGCAAAGACACACACACACAAAAAGCTAAACAGAAATCCGTGAAGACAGCTGTGAATATTCACAAAAACTCTAGAAAGAATGGTTTGCACCTTCCACCAAGGATTTGCAAAATGCTAAACAAGTAGTGACGAAGATATATATTATTGTATGCTATTTGGCCCTCAAGCAGACGAAGCAAAGCAACAAGAGTATGGCTTTTGATATCATCGTTAAAATCAGATGCACCTCTTATCTGACATAATCGCATGGCGTGCACACCCAATTTCACCTGACCTGAAATTAAGAAAGGGTATAAGACAAACTACTCAAAAGCATGAAGCAAAACCATTCATGCATGAGCAACAGAGTAACATCCTAGAAAAACAGTAGTTTCCATCAAACCTCGTAAGGACGGTTCTTCCTCCAAATATTTTATGAACAATGCCAATGTTGCATCAATGCCTCTACAATGGAACTCAAGATCAAGTAATGCTCTGCTGGCTTCAATTCGGACCTGCCATATTGCTTTGGTATCCTGAAACGGCTGTAGAAGTTCAAAGACGCGGTCCTGCAGAAAAGCGCCAAATCATGCATATGATACCCAATGAGAAGGAAAAGCGATCTAAATGATGTTGAGAAAACACCTACAAGAGGAACGAATCCTGAAAGCTTCAGCGCAATCTGGGCCAAAGTTCTGACACAGCTGACTGTCAACATCCCATTGTAACTAGGCATCAGCCTGTGGCATGCCATTTCCACATTTATACATGCATATACATAAAATCAGTTAAAAGTATTATTTGACAAATTAAAGATATCCAATATGAAATGAGTTAATGCACCTGTCAAATTGCAAAAGCCGATCAATACGCTTGAGAAGGGATGTTAAAAGGATGATACTCTGCCATGGATTAACGAAAGATAGAAATACAATAAGCCTTGAGATCAGGATGTAGAGACCAAGAAAAGAAAATTTCACTACATCATGATAATCCACTAGGTAGGTGTAATCCATGAGACGTAGTATGGTACTTCAGTTCAGACATAATCCAACCAAGCATAAACCAAAACAAAGAATTCAGTGGGTGATTGGTAAGAGTTATTCCATGCCAAAAGCCAAGCCAGAATTTCTAGTCATAGAACTTGAACCTCAATTCTAGACTCGTGATTTCTAAGAGAAAAGCCCGCCATTGAGAGAGAAGAAACAAAATTGCATTGGAACATTAAATTGGTTAGTTTGCAAATATATATTTTTGTATGATATAGCAATTAGCTTTATAACAGATTGAATTACGAAGAACCACACACTTGACTAGTCATGTACCTGACGTACCCAAGATGTGAGAGAAACCAAAGAGAAACAGAGAAGAAAAATTCAGAGTCTCGCACGCCTCCTTCCTAAGATTTCAATTCCGGAAAATGCGAGCACTAAAATAGTCTAGTACTCTAGGAATTCTCTAGCAGATTGTGCGTATTACGGAAATCAAATAGGATATAACACAAACCTGGTGTCCAAATTCGAGTTCGCCAACCGACTGAATCAATGCGGCAAGCCAAAACACATCCGAGTAAGGATTGCCATTATTATCATTGTACTGTCCAACATTGATAGACCAGGCAACAGAAATGAAATCAGAAGTTGCTACTTGCTAGTAAAAGACAGACAGATCGAGAAGTAAAGAAAACCAATAAAAGGAAACAGATTTTGTATATAAATTCAGTTTCTAAGCTCATTTGAACCAAAAAGATGCTCCCAGAAGCAGTGCACAGATTACCAAACTTTCCCTTTAAGTGTCAAAGTTCCCAAGCTCCAAAATTTGTACTTGTAAAGGAACAAGTTATTGAAATTATTGCATAGTCATAATATTCGTGTTGGACGACAAATATACATCCAACAGTTGTCTGAAAAAGAAAAGGATAATATATACCTTCAAGAGTTGTAAAACAAACTCAACAGCCTCTCTTGGGCTTTTCCTATCGGCATCTCTGACCATAGCTATCGCATGTGGAATAGCCTACAAGATAAAAGAGTTGGTTGACAACTGGCTTGAGAGCCACAATAGTCTTCCACATGAGGAAACTAAGAAATACTCTCAAAATCTCTCCGAAGAAATCTACAAGAAGTTTAACTACTACTACTTCATAAAGCTTTCTAAATGAACTGTGCAAGTGTCGTGCATCTGGCTCACAGCAAGTTTACCAAGATAGAAGAAGCAAATCTAATTGAAAAGAGGAGGGGAAAAAAACACCAGATACACACACACACACACATATTTCTAGGAACAACTTAAAATGAATGCAATTGCATGAACCAAACAGAGGACAGCACTAACAACTTATTATACCCTACCTCATTGCATTACCTCAAGAACAAAGTATTCGGCAAAATCATGGAAGTCATTTGGCCTGTAGCAGTAAACACAGCACAAAAGTTATATAACTTGTCTGATTTTTTATTTTTTTATAAGAAACAGACAAATTCATTGGAAAAAAAAAATGGCAATCAAAACGTTACAACTTGTTAGAATATTTTAATCCCACAAGAATTCATATTGCATCTTATCTTACTTGGGAAGTCCAATTTCCGCATCAAATCGTCGACTTCTGTAAAATTTCACCAAGTGAAGTAAACCAGCCCAACCAGTCTCCTGAAGGACACGATAGAAGTAGCCCACAAATCATAATTAAAAACTGACATTCATGCAGCACTCAAGATCTAAAGATTTGAGCAAAAGAAGAAATTAACTGTACATGCAAGCAATAAGCAAGTTCATAAACATTCTTGTGTGCGCGCGCGTGCTGTAACTCATTCTTTCGAATACACAACGGGTAGCATATTTTCCATAAAGGAGTAAAGATATTACAATTGATCCATAAGATATATGTAATCGTCGCGGCTTATAATGGTATCGGCTTTACAAAGTTGATTTAAGTTATATAATACTAATGATATCGCAATTAAAGGTAGCCATAGCTTTAAGAGATAAATGTCTTGTTTTGAATAGGATTTTCCCCTCTTTTAGGGGGTATTGGTGCCACAGCCTAAAACTTAGTATGCTGAGACAATATTTCAGAAAGACTTAAGATAATAGGGTTTATAGTGGCTTTCTTAATGTCTTGCGCAAGCTTTTATTCCTTTAAAGAGCTTCCCAAGGACTTTTGGCCGAAAGCTTCTTCCAGTCAAAATGCTTTGGGAAACCATCTTAGCAGTTAATACTAAAAGGAGCTTTCGGGATTAAAAGCCTAAGGCAGCTAAAGCCATGTACAATTGATACAAAGAAGAATCCAACAACCACCAGAATTATAATAATTTTACAGCATGTGACAAATACCTAATAAGAAAATAGCATATAATATCTATAATAAAAAAGTAATCCGATGTAGCTTGAGTTTATACTACCTCGTATAAAAAACTTTGTAGAGGGTCAATGTAGAATTAAATATTTACATATACACATCTCAAGTCAAAAGGAGAAGTTTTAAAGTGTAGTGAAAAGTTGACGAGCAAAAATAAAATAATACTAGTATCTCAGATGTTCAGAATGAAAAGTTTATGACAAGAAAAACAGAATCATAGTACCTCAGATGCTGTGTTAGCCAACGCAAACGCTGCCTCAATTCGAACTCTCCAAAAGCCCTTTCAAACCAAAGAAGAAATATTAAATATTCATATTCCACTTGACATGTGCTTCAAATAAAGACCCGAGTTCTGATAGCGCTATACCTTGGAGTCATTGAGGAAATTATTCAGAGCAGTAACAATAGACATTTTTGGTGATGCCTCTAGCATCGCAATTGCATGCGCCTGAGCAATAACATCTTTGTCCTTCTCTAACTGATTAATCTGACAAAGAAAAAGACATTTATTAGTCAAAAGTAACAAGCAGCAACAGATAGCAATGTGGAAGCTCAACTTTGCATGTACTGGATGGAAAAAGCAACATAGGAGCAATTTGGTTCTCAGCAGGGGGGGTGTGTGTATATCTGTAATCTTTAACATACATAAAAGAGCCAAAAGGTTTTTTTCCCTCTTTTTTGACATGTGGCTTTACAATAAGGCTCATTCTTTTTGACACATGGGCATCATCTTTTCGTTTTATTTTCTTTTTTAGAGGAAAAAAAGAAGCATTTCCTGATTTCTTTTTATCTTTTCTTTTTTCCTCTTTTTTCCCTTTTTTTTTTTCCAAAGTTCCTATACAGTTTAATTTTGTTTACAATGTATTATTTGAAATACCTTTTTTTTCCTAGCTTTGCACTTACTATATATTTATTCTAAATATATCCCTTTTTTTTTTCCTTTTTGTTAAAGGTTGTTCTACAGTTAAATCTTTTTTATGTGTTTCTCGAAACACTTTGCTCATTGTCATATTTACATATGCTTCTTTTTTTTTTTCTCAGAGGTACTCTCAACTACCGTTTATAGCATAAATAAAACTACTCTAATTTATCTCCATTTAAATAGTTTCCCTCACATATGAGCCTACTCAATATTCCTTTTCCTAATGTAGCACTCATAAAATATTTTGTTCTAATTGCTTTACTGATATCATATATTCTCAAATGTGTCTCTACCTAAATATTTTTTTTTTCTTATAACCCTCTTAAATTAAATACTATTTTCATTGTATCCCACAAATAATTTACTCTTTGATTTGCTCCACTAAAAGCTTCGTTTTCCTTTTAACTATGCTTCACTTAAATTTTTTATTTTATATTTTTTACTAATCTAAAATCTTAAAAGAATAGTTGTGATTCGAATGGTGAAACGAAGCGTAAGTTAATTAAAAACAAAAATTGAAGAAATTTTAAATTTTTATATCCAAAAAGAAAAAAAAATATGACACGTTGAATACACGCGCGTAGCGCGTGGTTTCAACTAGTGTGTGTGTATATATATATGTATATGTGTATATATATATATATTTAGAAACACCAAAGAAACTTGGCTATAAGCCTATCTTAGTTTGCCACCTGAAATTGACACTCGTAGCGGCACATTGAGAAATAGAAAAGCTACTGCTGTTAGTGTTGCAATCATAATTGTGGAAAGTGTAGAATAAGCAGTCTCATGTCATTCTTACCCACATCTGTATGGGTTGATTAAAATGAATCTCAGCAAGGTATTCCATTTCTGGATCTGCCCTCATCCATAATAAGGGTGACTCCATACTGCAAAAGGAAAATTCCCAATCACACACAAGAAACTAGTAACACCCCCTTCAACAACAATTATTACAAAGCATAATGGGTTCCAGATACCTTGAACGCATATCTAAAGCAGGAGTACCATCCCCATAATCGTCAGAACCATCAGGTTTTGAACTCTTTTTAGGCTTTTGAAAGCGTCTAGCAGCAAGTTTTGAATGGCATTGTATTTCCACAAGCTGCCAAGTATCTCCAGCCATTGGCAGAACTGGATGGTCATATGTACCATCAATTTCATAAACCCTGATACTCATCATACCAGGCCATCCAACATCATCTCGGTTTTCAGATTCTGGCTTGCTATTAACAACTAATGTACTTGAATCTGGGATAGCAGTGCACCCACGTAATACGGCTAATTCAACCATGTTCTTTCGTTTATTATAGGAGAACCCCATCCTTTTCAACATAAGAAAGGGAAAAACAAGCTGAAATCAGTAAATGCAACCAGTCTAATATAAAAGCTACAGTGAGCCCAGAGTCTAACCTTAGCACTGGGCACCCGCATGACTCCACCCAACGAGGAAAAAATTCCTTGAGAAAAGGACGTTCAAGATTTCCAACCTTGTTAGCAAAATGCCGAAACTGCATCCAACAATTTAGAGTATAAATGCTTAATTGTTGACACAATTAAAATTAATAAATAAAACTACAAGAATCAATATCATCAAGTAAAGCCAACACATAATAAAATTTCATAAATAGTCACCACCACGAACGAAAAAATGCAGAAAAGAACACACATCCGTCTTATAAAAGAACATACAAGTTACCTACTACTAGAGTAGAAAAACGGTGAAAAAAATAAAAATAAAGACAACGTAACAGTCAAATAGAGATGGAGTGTCATCCATATAAAGTGCACAAACATATCTAGCACAAGACCTAGCAAAAGAAAAAACAGAATAACAACAAAAACAAAAACAAAAACCAAAGTCATATGCCAGCAGGTAAACTTACTACTGTGTTCACAAATCTAGCATTGGCAACCCTTGATATCCAACCTCATTTGTTTACAATAACAGGTATCAAATATAATACCAAATATCTCTCTTAGCTTAGCCCAGAGAAAGAAAATAATAAAAGAACAAAAGAACATGCAACGAATTTGATATCATGTTTCTTTAGTTCAGCAGAAATTCGTTTTAATATCGGGTGTTATACCCTTGAAGTTTGACCATTTCAATAGAAGTCATAAACCCAACTTTTAACACCATAAGATCACGTGTTTTTTTTACTGTCTCCAAAATTGTGTAAAGGCAACTGACAACCAAACTATTCACATACTATTGTTTTTCAAGAAGTCGTCCAGAAATAAAAACATGCAACCTTACAAACTGGAGATTGCAAACAAAAATTCAAATACTAGTACTACTGGAACTTGCTGTTTGACCATTTGAATATCAACTTTCTAAAAAAGATAAAATAAGTTGATACACCTATTATGTTACATCACATAACATCAGTGATGAGTCGTTAGAAAGAACATAAATTTAATTCAAAACTAGACAAAAAATTGAAAGAAAACAACGAAGGACGAATGCAGAGAGTATCACATTATCCTAAGAAAACGTCCCTACCTCCTTTGTACTAAGAGATCTCAATGAACGGGTCTTATCTTGAGCCCGAGAAACTATTGTCTGCAAAATCTGGAAAAAATAAATAAATAAAAAGAGTATTAATCTCCATCATTCGGAAACCATAATTCAAATTCCATTCATAATGCAAATGCACTACCAGGGAGAATTCACATCCTAGAACCCATAAATAAGCTAATTGGTACTCCTAGATGAGATGATAATAGGGTTTCTTAATTCTGCCACAAACGGAAAAAAAAAAATATATATATATATATATATATATATATCTCAAAGCTCTGAGGCAATAAAACAAAAGAAAAGGCTCCATGCAGAATAGCAAAACGACACCATACGCCGTCGCCTTCTACTAAATCCTGTTTAAGGAAAAACCTAGCTGTATTACCAATGTCTTACGATCAATTATCCACGACAAGATCAGAAAACCAGTTATCAGATTGAAAGTAAGTAAATGGAATGAGAAAGGAGACATTAATCGCCAAGAAAAGCAGCAACTAACTTAAGGATTGTGCCACTATTTATCATAAACTAAATATTTTCTAATTTATGCCGCTAGATAAACAAATTGCAAGAATCGTTACTTTTCGGAATGACTCGGGTCCCATTTGCTTTTCCAACATTTGAAGGATGGCCACCTCCAAAACAAGAATTTCAAAAGAAAAAAGTTGAATAAGAAAACCGTATCAAATAAAGAAAGAAAAATATTAATCTTCCATGAAGACAATATGAATTGCAAATAACTCACAGATTTCCATGATCTTATTTTTCTGTATAGACCGATGGATTGAGTACCATATAAATCCTTAGAAGAGGCGGAGGAGCTTAAAGCAGTAGCACCACTATCGTCTGCTTTGCAAACAGCACAATTTGCCTGCATATATATATTTCCACTTTGAATTTGAAGAGGTATATACCGTCACTCGTGATTTCTTTTGTTGCATTCTAATCTTGAAAAGAATATTTACTTAGCTAGAAATTTGGATTAACAAACTATGTCAGAGAATCTGAAGTGCCAAATCATGTGAAAAAGAATAGAACTAATGAAAAATGCATAAAAAGACGGGCAGTGGGAGGTTAGACTTAGCTGTTAGAAAGACACTGTTGAAACACACAGAGTATTCTATACCTTTCTTTCATAACATACTGTCATATTATAAACCAGAAACATGTAAACTAATTTTAGAAAACAATACCAGTTCTCCTCAAAGTAGAGCAAAACTAAAAAAGAAAACCAATATGACCAGCCCTTCATCCAAAAAACGGGTACATTACATGCAGAAGTCTCAATATGAAATCAAACCTTGTATCTCCTGTAACGTGCCTCATTATTCCCTAAATACTTCTTGATAAACAAATCTGTCATAAAACCAGCAAGACCATCCAGCAGCCACTCTGAAAATAAGAATTAAAATGGCCATATGATAACCAACTCTATTGACGACTTAAACAGAAGAATTAAAATGGCCATATGAGAACCAACTCTATTGACGACTTAAACAGAGAAAATTGGTATAACTATCTTAAGCATCTGTTTAGTATAAACCATGATAAAACCCACTTACCATCATTCGGTGCCTCGGGAGTAATATAAACACCAAACCACTGTTTTGCAAGGGCATAAGCAAGTTTAATCCTTGTGTTTATCGTCTATCACAAAGAAGATTATAAACATAGTGAGAATGGGAAACACGATGTGCAAACTTCACATGAAAGATCGATGACATGCACTGGAGAGTAATTCAAACTTGGAACTCAAGTCAACTAAGCTTTATGTTTCTAAATCATTAAGACACCACATGCAAAGTGAGATTTATACACGGCAACTGAAAGGTAGGCATGTTTCTCCTAGCGGAAATCAAATTTTAAAAAAGTGAGGAAATTGTTTATATAAATTCAGACAAGACGCAGTGGACAAATATGGTACAGTGCAAATGGAATTTGACATTAGTGATTCTTACTCACCCAATAATGTTGTCTAATTTTATCAAACTATAACAACAATTAAAACATGGTGTTTCATTGAAAAACACCCAATATAATTTTATAGCTTCTTCAAACTATAAGAATAACTAAAACATGGTGATCATCCAAAAATAAACTATTGGCTAGAGTTTCTTTTCTGGTTATTTTCATTGGCAATCATTGATTCTAAAAAAAAAAATCCTGAAATCAGAAAAAGATACAAACAAGGGTAATCAAAGATGATAAAAAATCATTACAAAAAAATTTAGCTTCGCCAGAGGAACTGACATTTTCACTACCAAAGGGTTTCGTGTAGCCTGCACTCTACAGTTTAAGCATGCCAAAGGCCCTGGTAATGGTTAACTAAGGTCTCAAAATGTAAGGGTTGACAACAACGTTTATTTGGATCAACATAGAAAGTATTTCTAGTACAATACCACAAGTATATTGTTGACAAAGGTAATCCATATATACTGAAGAAAAGACATAATCAGAATGTTACAAGAACAAAAACAAACACATGTTAACAACCAACACTGGCAACACATACTACTGAAATCCTGTTCCAAGTTCTAATGCCTTAGTTTAGTGCATATTTATGTGCTCAAGTCCACAGTGCATGCACAACTTAAATAAAGGATGTAGTGAAAGGGAAACAACTTTAGAAAAGATTGAAAGCAAATCATATCATGCATTCATAAACATACTTAATTAATTAGAGAGGACATAGAACTTTAAAATTTTAACTTTGCCAGCAAATATGGCATAATATTTTCATAGCAGTTCAATAAGCCACAAAATCACACAACAAGCTTTACTGCCGTAAATACAACATTCTCATGTTTGAGCTAAACATTTCAAATTCCAACATACAATCATGTTTATGCAGTTAGATCAACCTTGTACCCTATTATATATAAATACATCTACACAGAAATTCCAGGATGGCACCTATACAAATCTACATTATACCCATAAGCATAAATAAATGTAAGAGAACATGAGACAGAGCTCACCACCTATGGGGAATAAAATCATAAACATAAGGTTTGAGGAATTTCCAACCTGATCAATGATCTTTTCATCAAATAAGATTTGAGAACTGAAGATGCTCATGGAAGCCCCCAAGCTTAAGGAGGACACTGCCATCTCAGGCTCTATGAATACTTGCTTGTATGATTCAAATGGAAAGTTTACAGATAGATAATCCTTATAACAGCTGTTGAAGCAAAAACACAAGCTTCAGAACTGATGGTCCGTGCAACCATTTTTTTTTACTATTTATTAGTATAGAAGAAGAAAAAGTAGATCTTGAACAAGACATCTGGTGACCATGTAGCTAGAAAAACAAACCTGAATGCACTATGGAAAAATTCTACAGTATGCCGAAGCTTTGAAATGTTAGCAGGTAAACACATATGTGAAATTAGAGAAAATTGTTGATCAGGAAGGATTTCAAAAGGTCCAACTGCCAAAGATATCCACCGAGCACTAACTGCAACATCTAATTTATAGACATATGTTTTGCGAGGAGGATCATCCTTGCTCAAAACCTGCAATAAGTTGTGACAGTAGATCTTTAAGACACCACATAATAATTACCATATGTACAACACCATGTTTAATGGCTCTTTAAACTTAGAATATTATTAACTATTCAGTATCCCTTGAAAAGCAATGTTTATGGTTTTCATGTAATCACAATTGCACCCAAAATATCAACAAGTTCTTCATATAGAAGAAGAGAAGGACAAACTAGTTTATTACAAACCCACATGCTAAATTAACCGATCCAGTATGTCGTGAACTTTATATTGCTAATGGAAAAAAGTAAAATGAATTACAAATATCAGAGGTCAGATGAAGTGATGCATAAACAAACGAATGAATAAATAAAACAAAAAAACAAAAGGGAACCATACCACAAGGTCTAAAAATGACCTTGCTATCAGTTCACAGTTCATTATGGTACGAGTACATGCATAAATTTTCAAATACAATTCAAGAAGGATAAAACTAGTCAACTCAAACAAGCCTTTTGTCATGTATAAGAGCTTAATCGAATTCATTGGGCTCATTCTCTTTCAATTACTTTGGGCTCATTTTCTTCTAATTACTTGTTAACTCATGTTTACAAAAAATTGTTCAGAAAATTTTTGTTTAATATATTTTTAGTTATTTCTTATGCATTATATTATTATTATTTTTTTCATATCAAGCTACAATTCTCAGTATTCATCCCAAACGCTAATTCAGATTATATTCCCTGTTCGAATTAAAACTTTAAATACACAACCAAACGCCAGTCTGGACTACTGTTTAAATCACATTGTTTGGATTTTTCTATTCAAATCAAAAAAGTTAAAATCAACACAATTCAAACCATCAAACTAAACAGACACTTAATTATCATCTTTCTAATTTTTTTAGTAACATTTTCTAGGTAAATTAACTAATTAGTTCTTACTAATTAATTAGTTACTTGATCCTTAAGCATAAATCTTCACAAAGATATATTACAATGAAGTAATAGGAAAATAAAATGGAGACAAACAAAATTGTTATAAAGATGGACGATAAGTCAAAAACTAGTTTCTCCTTTTCCTTGTAGTGTGTAAGGGGATTGATGGAGGTAACAAGTTCCATTTCCTTTATGGCAAATTGGTACCTTGGACATATCTTTAAAATCTTAATTACAAACTTTACTATATATTCTCTAGTAGGGTTATTGGGATTTAACATTTGGATTGAGCCCAATGGTTTTATCAGTTGCTTCAACCACCTACGTTAAAACTAGACTTAAAAGAGCCTCGATCTCGAAGATGCGTGCGGTGAGCGTGGGTTGAACACGCACCCTTCAGATAATAATTCTGAGGCTCTCCCAATTGAGCTATCCCCGCAAATTATGCACCAACCAGGAATCGAACCACGGGACTTCACTTGACAAGAAGAGTAAGAATCACTCCTCTAAAGAGAATGGAACTCATATAAATGGTGAAACAAAATTAAGTACAAAGCAGAGAGGAAGAGACATCCTCTTAGAATGAAATTACAAAAATTATTTTTGTATAAATAGTAAAAATTTTACGAAAATTAATTTTAGTATGAAGAAAAAAAATATTTAAAGTTTTTTTTTCTTTCGTATTGAATTTTGGTGATCGTTGATTATGCATTCATTCTTAAGGTAAGCTTTTAAGTTTTTCATAGCCCCAAACTTACAGATGTTTCAAATGCATAATTTGAAGTTCAAAGTAACACTCAACGATGTTCTCATGGTGCAACAAGCAAAATAAATAAAAAAATGAAAAAAAAAATTATATATACATTAAGAAAATAATAATGATGATGATAAAGATAATAAATCAATCAATCAATCAACCAACCAAGGCTTCCTTTCTTCCAGCCACTATCTCAAGATAGCCGGGTTTTTTCAGAAAGCTAGAGGGAAATTCATATACCACATAAAAACTGCCTAGACAAGAATATTTAATGTCAGCCCCGTTCACGAGAATGGATTCTTGCCATTAAGAATCAGCATATGCTATATTAGAATCGACCATACCTCACCTTTCTACTTTCTTTTTTTTTTATAGGACGACAAACTGGGTTACAAAGGACACAATAAGCAATTACATCACCAATCAGGAACAAAAGTGAATTTAGAAAAATCCCATGTTATGTACGTATAAAAAGTAGCAAGCGCTATAGCTATTTTGGTTTTCAAATATTTATAACACATTCTCCATGTGATCTTCCTTCAAGGGAAAGGTCTAAAATCAAGGGACTTGCATAAGAAATATAAACTGTCACCTATCTCACCTGGTATAACAAGTTTCCCGTGCTAACAGCCACAAGGTTCTGTGCAACAGTAAACTCTAGATCATAGCTGTTCAAATAATGTAATAACCATAATAAATACTTAAAGATTGAAAATAGACAAAAGGATTAAAAAAAATATTAAAGTCGGACTACATAATTCTACCAGCAACGCTGCGAAGTGTCATCTATACAAGGGAACCAGCACCGAGCTCGTCTTATTTGGTTATCGGTATGAAGCACGTTACCATCAAAGTGAATCCCTGTCTCTGCTTTCTCTACCCAATAGTTAACGCGAACCAGTCTCACATTCTGCAGGAAACATCAACCTACATGAGAAACCACAAAGAAAGTAAACCTCTCACGAAAATTGGCTACGTTACTTCACCCAAGAAAATAGCGGTTCATCCTAAAATCCTTAATACTTACACACTTATTAGACGAAACAAAAATATCACTCACCAGTCACCCCCCCAGAAAGTAATAACTCTTACAAATACTACATGCATGAAAGTACGAGCTAAAATCTAAGGGGCTGTTCGGCAGCCCTTTTTTTGAGTCAAAAACTCAAAAAAAAAAACAACTCGAGTTACAACTTTATTCGAGTTCATGTTCTTTTAAGTTTGAACTCGAGTTTGGAACTAAAACTCGAGTTCAAGTTTTCTCCTCAATTCGAGTTCAGAAACTCAAACTCAAATTAATGAACAGTATTTTTTCTATTCTTAAAAATGCTATAACTTTTTCGTTTTAATCCTGATTAAGATAATTTTTTTTCTATGCATTGACAACGAAAAGATGAATAAAACCTCACACATATACCCTATTAAAATTTTTCATCAGCATTGAGTTTTTATTAAAATATTATCTAAATACAAATTCAAGTTTTGACTCACTCAAACACAAACTCAAAAAGATTCTTATCTCAAACCATAACTCAAATGTACACAACCAAACACAAACTCAAGTTACAACTTCAACTCAAGTTATAACTCAAACTCAACTCAAAATCTATACTCAAATCACCTAACTCAAAAAGGGCAAAAGAACAGCCCCTAAATTTGACAAAAAAACAGAAGAGGCAATTCTATCATTGACTCATGGGCCAAAACCTAGACACCACAATCCCATTTCACACTCCCAATCAGCATTCTAAAAGCACAAATTGCTACTGTAACCTGCTTGCTTTCTCCAGAGGATTGCGGCAACCCATTCTCTGAAACCACCTGCTCTTGCTGTTCATTTACAGTCTTGAATCCTTTGCAGCAATTTATCAGCAAACTCGGCATCAATTCCCTCTCCAAAGCTGATACATACATCGCGCCAGCAATGGCGGCCGCAGAGCTCGGCGTCATCATGGAGCTCCACCTGTTCTCGCTCTCCACATTATGATAAGTATGTGGATAATACTCAAACTCCGTAGGCTCGCCGTCGACAAGAACACTCTCAATCCCCAAATTCTCGGCGTGTAACCCTACAATACCGATTTCTGGGACAGCAATCTCCAATTCGGAGTACCTAACAATGGAGGAAGCAAACAAATAACTAAGAATTAACAAAAGAAATTCCGACTTCCAGTCTTACCAAGCAAAACCGTAAGTCTCCACACTCATTATCAAGAAGAAACCTCCATAATTTGGGAAACAACTCGCGATGTTACGGAAACACGAAGGTCCAGTAGATAGAAAGCAAACAAATAACTAAAAACTTCGACCAAACAAATAACTAAAAACTTCGACTAAACAAATAACTAAAAACTTCGACAAAACAAATTCTAACCGCACTATTAGGAAGCAAAACCTAAATTCTCCATAGGCATTTTCAAGAAACCTCCATAATTTAGGAAACCAATTGCGACGTTAAGGAAACACGGAGGTCGAGTAGAGAGAGCAAGCAAATAACTAAAACCTGAGAAAAGAATTCCTCACTGAAAGTATTACGGAGCAAAACCTAAATTCGCCATAGCCATTTTCAAGAAGAGACATCCATAATTTGGGAAACCAATTGCTATGTAACGGAAACACGAAGGTCCAGCAGAGAGAAAGCAAGCACATAACTCAAACTCGACAAAAGGAATTCCAATTGCCACTATTACGAGGCAAAACCTAAATTCGCCATAGCCATTTTCAAGAAAACCTCCATACAAAATGGAGGAGAGAGAGAGAGAGAGAGGAACCCGTAGATGCGACGATTGTCGAGGTCGAGGGAGAGGCAGAGCTTCTGGTGACGGACGACGGCACCGAAGTTGTCGGGCTTGGAGTTGGCGTCATCGTTGGCGGTGTTCTTGGGCTTGCGAGGCTTCGCCATGGCCGTGGCCGTGGAGGAGATCGGAAGCTACTACTACTACTAACTATGAGGCGTTGAGATGTCGTTTGAGTTTAGCCATGGGGAGGGGTTTATTTATAGACTAACACGCACGAATCGATTGGATTTTCATCTCTCTCCTTCTGGTTCTGTTGTCGTCTCTGTCTCTCTCTAGTCTGTGTGTATCACTCGTACCGTTTGATTTTGCTGACGACTGTGCCCTAGAATTGTCTTTGCCTATAACCGTACGCGTGTCAAAGACAGTGATCCAACGGTGGATTCGAGATCTGATTATTGAATTTTTTTTTCTTATTTTTTAGGAACCTGATTGTGAACTGCCTTCATTGGAGAAAATCAAATGACAAAACATCCAAAAAAAAAAAAAGTGATTTACTTTATCATCTAATAATATACTTACAAAATAAATAATGCATATTTAGTGAGCTCTACATAATTTAAGAATGAGTAAAAAAAATGTCAATCCTAACATTCTTTTGGTATTTATTTTTTATCAAAATAAATAAATGCTTAATTTATTTATCTATTTTTAATAAATTATTACATAGTCAATAATTATTTAATTAGGTCAAAAGACTTTTTAGTAATTGCATTAATAATTTTTGTAAGCACTAAAAAGAGAATAAGATTTTTTCTTATTATGTCATTTAAGAAAAAAAGTGTAAATCCTCAATTAAAAATACAAAAATACCCCTCAATTAAAATGAAAAATTTCAATTCAAATAACCAAAAATTCTTCTGTAAAAAAAGTTCAAATTCTTTCCTGATTGTCTCTCTCTCCTTCTCTCTCTATTGTCGTCGATTGCAAATCGGCTCCGACGCATACGTTTGTGAGATTCGTCGCCCTCTTAGCTCCAGCAATCTCTCCTCCATGCAGTTTTGCGAGCAACGAAGTTCGCCATCTCCTATGTGCGATTGGCTTCGCAATCTCCGGTGGCTTCGCAAGACTAGATCTCCAGCGAGATTCGACATCTCCAGCGGACTAGAGAGAGAGAGACGTCGAGGAGCCGTTTCCAATCTATAATCCCGATTCCGTAGGGAGGAGAGAGATAGACGAAGAAAGAGAATGGAGGAACGTCGAATCTGGTACTCGTGTAGCTGTGGCATTCACACTGTGAGAAATTTACCATAGAGTATAGCATATAGAAAATTTAATACGACAAATAGCATTACATTAGAAAGTATTTTTTCACTCAAATGTTAAATTTACAATTAGTAAATTAATTATAACATTACGTTGAACATACTCTAAGAGAAAGAGAGAGACGTCAAAAGGGAAGGAGAGAGGAAGAAAGAGAAAGGTAGTTTAAGGAATATGGGTAAAATGGTAAAATGAATCCTTTTAAAACTAAATATGGCCTATTAATTTATAATCTTTAGTAAACAAGTTATTTACTTTATCATGTTATAAAAACAAGCGTATTTACTACAATTTCTTTTTGTATTATTGTGTTGGTATACTTTTGGATAGCTTTCATTCTTATTATTAGCTAGTTAATCCTAATGTGAGTTCAAGCTCATCCCCTGTGCATGTTCAACCTCGTCACGATGCACAAAAGTAAACTAAGGGGTTGTTTAGTTGGGAGACTCGTACCCCGATTCGAATCATGGTTCATAATTCGCTACAGTGTTTTCTTTCACAAAAAATACACGTAAATCGAAAATGACTATAATCTTATAATTCTAATCCATGAACCAAACGTCTCATAAGTATTGAATACTCCGATCACGCTACAGCTCAATCTCGAGGTTGTTAGAACTCAATTTTGACACAATGTTCATCTCACTTGTGTGTATTAATATCTTTAGAAAAAGAATCATTGGTTACTTTCAGTTACCATCAAGAGTGGGAAACCCTTACCGAGCATATAAAATAATTATGGAATTTTCACTGATATTCAAAAAATATTCATTAATATATGCACAAAAATAATGAATAAACTATTTTATTAAATAAATAATAAATATCCTATTACATCTCGTGCTTCTAGAACATCATTCTCAACACTCACTTCATCATGTCTCCAAAATACAGGGAATAGGATTCAGAATCTCAGAATCCGTACCGAGTAAATCAAAATACACAAATCCATAAATAGGAGTCTGTTAATAACTCGGGATTAAGATTATTCTACATATGACCATCGGTAGACTTAATTAGAGTTTCTATACTTAACGAAAATTATTAGAAATTCATATTGTGTATGTGTCCATGTTTCACATAATCTCATTATACGTAATACACTCATTTAATATCTCACCATATTAACAATGTAAATAACACTGTTCCATTCTAAATGAGAATGACATGTATTAGTAATGTTTTAATTAAATATTTTGAGCTTTAAATAAATTCATTACGAACATCGTTTTGATTATTATCCTTAAATATTATCCTCTCGCATATAACACTTATATACAATATTTAAGGTTACATAAATAATCATGAAATTTTCATTGATATTTATAAAATATTCATTAATATATGCACAAAAAATCATGAATAAACTCTTTTATTAAATAAATAATAAATATCTGATTACATCTCATACTTCTAGGACACCATTCCTGATACTCACTTCATCATGTCTCCAAAATACAAGGAATATGATTCAGGATCTCAAAATCCATACCAACTAAATGAAAAGACACAAATCTATAAATAAGAGTATGCTAATAACTCAATATTAAGATCATTTTATATATGACTATCGGTAGACTCAATTTAGAATTTCTATACTCAATGAAATTTATCAAAAATTCATATTGAGTCTATGTTCCTGTTCCATATAATCTAATTATGCGTAATACACTCATTCAATATCTCTTCATATTAACAGTGTGGATAACACCATTCCATTTTGAATGGAAATGACATGTATTAGTAATATTTTTTTAATTTAAATTAAATTCATTATGAACATCGTTTTGATTATTATCCTTAGATATTATCCTCTAGCATATAACACTTATATAAAATATTTAAGGTCGCATAAATAATCATGAAATTTTCACTGATATTCATAAAATATTCATCAATATATGCACATAAAATAATGAATAAACTTTTTTATTAAATATATAATAAATATCCTATTACACCTCATAATTTTAGGACACCATTCTCAACATATTTGACGAATTGAAACTTTCCTTTCATATGGCCGTTGATTATAATCTTTGTGTGATGACCCTCCTGGGTAGCCGTTACCGTAACTGAAATTAACTTGTACTTACTGGGATTTCTTAAAATTTGCGGAACATTTTTTTTTTTAAATATAATAACGAATAATTTCATAAATCATATCTTTCAACTGAGTGGCGTTTGAACTCTTGTTTTATGTATTCTTTAAAAGCCTTTCTAAAACTAGCTAATTCCATCGACCATCTAATTTGACTTTAAAATGGATTTCGTGAGAAATCTTCAATTCAAGTACTTCTTAAAGTCCTTTCAAAATCCCTTCAAAATCAATCATTTAAATCGTCATGTTTAAAATTCATTTATTTGTTGTATGCACTGTTGCAACGTTCTAAAACTTAAAAACTCAAGACTGGGGTTCTTAGCTACAACCTCGGTTCTCTTAACATACATATGTACATATACTTTTTAAACATACGTGCTTGAAACCTTTGAATCATATATTCATATACATTATTTTACTTTAACTTACCGCGGAAGATTTAAGTGTGAGCGGTATCCATTCTCATCTCCACCATTCGTCCACTACTCGCCATTGCCCTTCAAGAATTGCTGACAGGCTTCTTACCTACAGCATGAACATATCTAATTGAGCTTTCGCTCAGCAAGTAGGAACTATCTCTTGAAAAATAACTATAACTACACATGAATAAATATGCATGAGCTGATTGTGCTTAATTATGATGTCTTATCCTAGTCTTATTATCTTATCTTATCTTTCTTACTGATGGGCCCGAGTGCTCGTACCACTTGCGTGCAATCATCGGGACATGAGGGTTTGCAAGGTCCTTCATGACATCGTGATTATAACTGAACTGAACGCCTCCCTCTCAGAGGACATTATTATTTTTTTTCCTTTCTTCTCCCTTGGGAGCCTGAGTCACCTCCCTCTCAGAGGCTAGTACGGCACTCAACTTAGATTATTCTTATAAGTTCTTCTTGACTTATTAAGGTGTATGCAATATGACATAGCATAGCATACTATAACATGAAATGTACTCAAACACATATAATTCATGTGCACCGCTTAAGTGTATGCAGCATGACATAGTATCGCATATAACACTTAAAGCATAAACATGTATATATAACATGTGTAACTTTTTCTTTAAAATCTATTCATACTGTAGGCGAGATTCCTACTTACCTGATTTACAGAGCTGAAATTCACTTTTTGCCAAACAGTCTATTCTCTTACATGCTTACTTCTGAAAATGAACACCCATTAAGAGTGTGAGATTAACTGTCGTTTGTTATTCTATTTTAGCAACTTATGAAGGAAATCTAGCCATTTACTTAAGGCGTGTATTCCTTTCCTTTACTAAAGGATGATTTCCTATAAGGATCAATTTATTAAATCCTCAAAATCTTATTTTCCTTAATTGCCATTAACATCTATTTGCCTAGCTTGAAAATCAATTACCCAATCTAGTAATTTATTCTCCATAATCTACCTCATTGGACTTGTTATACATTAAGGCCCAATTCGGCCTTGAACTTATTCACGGCGTTCTAACTCTTAGGCTGTTAAAATTTAAACTCAGACGGGGTCTCTTGAATGAATGCGAGCGTTGGACCCACATCCAATCTTCAGAATCCTAAGGTTCTATCGTATTGGGCTCGTTGGCCCGTCTGGATGATTTGCTCGATAAACCGTTAAATTCTTTAAAAGAAAGTATTTTTCTTGAAGACTTTCTTTACGAATACTTTTGTTAAAACGAGGTTTAATACCATAGTATTTTGCTGAAATCACACCTTGGGTTCTTTGATAATTTTTGTTAAAAACCAACACTATGTCAGTTTCGTTTCGTTAAACTGTACAGTTTCTGAAATCTGCATTTTACTGCATCCTAGAGTTAGATTTCAAAATTTTATTCTTCGCGACAATTCTCCGTCTCATTGAGATCTAAAATTGTCATTTTTGGTAAAAGTTGAAATTC